TACCTCCGTTATACGTAGGAACTTATGTGGTTATTTATATGTGGCCGTTTTGTTTACTCTTACGGACAGCCCGTCTGTTATCAGGAGACAACAAACCATAGACATCAATTAGTGTAGTTTGCCTTTTATACAGTTTCTGAATACATAAGGTATTAATAAAATGCGAGCCAGAAATATTTTGGTGTTCATATAGGCGCCTTGTCACACGATTGTTATCCTGTAGAGATTCCCAATATGTGTCGCTGTCTAAGTCGCCTCCGTTTCACATATAAATTTTACAGTGCTGGTGCATGGTAAGTCATGAAAGGTTCCCCCCCAGTATGCTGCACAATCTTCCCTGCTCCCATAGTTATTTGGTTGACCTAACATGGGAAAAACAACTCGTGGTAAATTATGCAGATAGGACATCAGTCAAATAAAATGAGTGACATCGTCTGAATTCTCAATAAATTTAAGCTAATGATTGGTCTTTATTCCGACAGGCATTCGCATTTTTTTATTTCAAATTTTGTATTTTCTGCTAGGCATCACCGCTTTATTTTCATTTCTAATTTAGAGCATTTCAGTTTGGCAACACAAAAAAACAAGGTATATAAGACAGTCTTGCAAATATTTCATAAAAATGTAATTTATGTATTTAAAAACAAAAATTACTAAAAAAATACAAAGAAAATAACTCAAACGTAATACAAATGAAATGGAAACTAAGCGTGTTGTTTACCTGTGCCCCATGCAATAAAAGGTGCTGGAATGTCGCCCCATCCGGACAATACCCAGGTACCCTCGGAGGCTTCATCTGTTGCTGAGGTCCACCAATAGACCGTCGCGCGTGCTGAAATTCGATAACTGACATTATTACAGTTGGTACCAACTTATAACTGACTAAGTAGATTGCAAGGTGACTACAATATACAAAGCCACAACAGCATTAGAAGGCTAACTTTGAAGATGTAAAGTACGTGTAGGTTACACATACAGATGGTTACATTCGTGTTGAAAGCTATTGTTTGATATACATGTATCGCTGTAAATCGTTTGTATGCCCACGTCAGATGATGTCCTATCAAAAAATTTCCATACCTTCATCTGCGGCAAGATACTGCCTAATAAAATTGTGCTCCTCTTCGTCGTTCACGGCGACTAGCCTGGCTCCCATTGACTCACAGTGTTGTTTGGCCTGGTAGAAGTTGGCCGTCAGTGTCATATTGAAACTGTAGCAACTCCTCTTGTACATAACCTCAAACTGCGGTGGGCACGTCACTAGTCAAAGGTAATGAAAACATTTAATACAATTGATATGCTATATTTATACTGTATTTGTAAATTGGTTAACATCATACGTTATTACAAGATTGTTTACTTGATGCAAAATTAAGAATATTGACATCTGTACTAATAGATCGAGCAGCATGGTGTTCAATTTTTTTCTATTAAGCAATTACGCAAGTAATGATGATAACGTGGCTCAATTTTGGAAATTCTGGCTGGGATATTAAATCTAAAGTCTTTAAAAGCAAAAACTTGAAATACAATATATATATTTTGAACACAGCCAGTGTGTTTCTAGACATAAATTGCGGTTACGTTCACAGTGCAATCCGACGTGAAGGACAGGACAGGTACATTGACTAGACCCCTCAGTTATTTGGACACAAGTCCCGCCATTTTTACATCCACATTCCTGAAAATAATACAGTAAACAAGCAATGCCGTGGTTCCTCCTGTAGAAATTTTGTTACCAATGTCAGTATTTGTATTTTTTATTATTTCTTTATACTCTATACACAAATTAAATAATAGACATGGTATCATTCACTCTCACATATTCGCCCCTCATTCTTACGCGTTATTCGTTATCTTATAAAATATTAATTGCATTTCCCCATTTGATGGTACATTGATTTCCTTAATAACATTTTCATTTGAATTCTAATTTGAATCGACTCTATAAACTATGTAGTCCAGTAAAAAAGAGCGACTTAGAATCACTTATTATGCTTCATTAAATAAAGGTATCATTACACCTTTTTATTAATTATGCCATGCAAATTAGTATACATTTCAGACAGCACCTTGTAGCACGTATTATTGTTGTCGCACTTATGTCTGAAACACAGTTTTATGTAAGGGACAAATTGTTAGAAATCGCTATAACAGTTTTCACCCCCCCTCCCCCCCAAAAAAGTGCTGGAATTAGCTTATTCATTTAGGTGTATTTTGATGTAACAGCATTATGCATAACATATGACGATGTTTATTTCATTTTAAACGAATAGGGTTAAAAATCCTAACGTAGACCTATATTGTACTCAGTTCTTCTAATATAATAGTATGGACAATAAAGTTTACGCATAAAGAGTAAACAGTGCATTATTTATGTCATGGTGAAACCAAAGATATGGAAACATTGTTCTACAAAGGCAGACAGTTGGTTTGCTAATGTTTTAAATCTTTAGTATTGGTTGGCTTCACACGGCGTCCTCAGCAGTACTAAACGATTAATCTGTAATTCAACAGATCCGACTTGATAATAGTTATGGTATTGCTTGTGGCATCAACAAAATAGATTTTGCTAAGAAAATGTGTGCCACACTTCTTGCAGCAGAATCTTTAAAGGATTTTGCCGATACCATGAGCGACTTTTTCACATTTAAAATCAGTGATATTTATGCTGAACTCAATTATCTGGAAACAAAAATATCACATTCTCATCACATCTCTCAACGCCAGGTTTTCTCACAGAGCCACAATCACCATCACTAGTTTTTCCCATGGCAACTGCTGATGAAATGATAAATATTATCAATAAATCAAAACGAAAGACAACGTGTAGCTTAGATCCAATACCAACAACTACATTTGCTCTAATCACCCACATTATTGAAACTTGTTTCATAAATGGAAACACCCCGGATCTAAAATTGTTCGAACATTGCGTTTTGCTGAAGTACAGACCTATTTCAAACCTTTAGTTTGTTTCAAAGAAACAGGACACATAAAATAACATTACACAAGACGTACCTCCGTATGGAAATTTGACCATAATTGCAATTAACTATTTCAAACCCAAACCATTGTGTATTTTGGTTGACGTCATACTACGTCCTCAGTAAACATTTCATCTGAAACATTCGCTTTTTGTGACATTTATGTCATTGCTATTTGAAACGCGGCCTTTTGTAATAATTTTTATTCAGGGATAATGTAAAATGTGTACAAAAAGGAGATAATTCAATTAACGCTATTTTTATTGTACCCACACACACACACATATAATNTGGATAGCCAAAAAAGCGGGATGTTATCAAAGCTCAAATTTCAAGTCAAGGTTGATGTTCTTCATCCTCCTGCAGAATATCTGATTGAACTCCTCGTTCTGAGCCACCGTGAAATGATTCCTCCAATCTCCCACTGTGCCTAAAAACAAACAAATAAATAAGTGAAAGGAAATGGATGTCCATTTTAAGGTGAATAAAAAAAGAAAAAAATCGGATTCATCGATCGCCTCGATCATGAATGTATTTATGCTTCACTTTATCACTTATCGCTTGCACTTGGGTTTCATGTACTTTTAAAGAAATACAAAATCATGATTTTGTCATGTTTTTGTAAAGTGCACGAGCAACTGTGAAGTACAGAAAACAGTCATTCCAGCACACTTTCGTCGAATTATTTCATAAACTAGAACCAGACAATACAATATATGTAAATATATGTGTCACTTATTTATAATTGTATTTTTGACCACACTTCAATGCTCCAATACTGGGAGCAAGACACTTACGGATATATCTCAGTGAAGCTTTCTGCAAATAAACATAACGCTCACGCACAGTAACAAAATTAAAAAAAGACTAATTATTTCAACTTTACTCCTCTGAAAGAAAGGATGAATCCTCATTCTGCAAATAGGTTACCTTTCCTAAATATGCCTTCGCTGTCCTCCGCCCAGACATTCCTGATGTCTTTCTTTTCTTTCTTCATATGTTGAAAGGAGCATAGTCTAGCCACGTCGCTGTAGAACTGCTCTGATCTTTCACGTACCAAAAACTCGGCCACTAGACGCACTTGTTTCTTAAGGTCCTGAAATAAAACGAACTGATAAGACGCATTAAGCATTTTTTCAGTTATGTACTGAAAGAGCCTTCCCATTTGTTTGACAACTGAATTTCTTGTTTCACGGGGGGTTTAATTTGGAGAAGCGAAGGCCCTCTCATTATCCGGCAACAGTCATTCCAGTGTGACATTTCTTATATACATTTTGCATTCGCTTCTTTAGAAACAATTAAACTTGCTTAATCTTACACTTCATCAACCTGTTTCTTTGCTTGGGATCGATAGCGGATCCAGGGGAATGGCTGTCAACGTCATCCCCGTCCACGTGACCCCCTTAGCCTGTTATGTACCCCCTCCCACCTAGAAATAATAAAACCGACAATCTGAAACAAAAAAAAAAAAAAAAACATGATAACTGTTATCCGCAAATTTCAGTTTTATTGTCCTCGTCTACTTGTTGCGTGGTCCCTTCGTTGGGAAAAAAACCCTAACGCCCTACCCTAGCAAGCACTTCATCCGCCAATGAGGAACCTGCACTCTTCTTATAATTTACCAGTTTCATGTCCTCATACGTCATAATCAGGGCGTTTGGATTGTTCTCCAGGACTTTCAACCATTCTTCTACGTGGTCGAACCAGTCGCCATACTGAGCTGAAACGACAGATGCATGGTGCTATTATAGTGTAAACATTAAAAAATAGTATTTTTGAAACTGTAAAAAGCATTACATCATATAGGTTATAGAGAAAAAAAAGCATTTTTTTTTCCTTCAATTCACTTGTAACCACTATTAAGCTAATATGGAAGTGGAGAAGAGGGCCACCTCAGAAGTAACAGGAGATAAGGACATATTGTCTCTTAGATTTTACCTTTGCCGTTCACCAGCAGTTCATACATCCCGTTCCAAGAGCAGTTCGCTGACTTCGGTTCTATACCCGTCGCGTGATAATATAAAGACACATATACATCCTTTGGATTACGAACGACGTAGATTATCTTGCTATTCAGCGCCACCTTTGGGAAAAGTTTTAGAGGCACATGCGTATTCAGGACACGCGGTGGCGCCATATTTTCTATTATGTGGAGCGGACACAGTTCCGGAAACATCCCGCACGAAAACGAAGTAGATACTCCAGCGCAGTAGACTACTGCAATCATACTGCAAACATGCTTCAAATCTGCTTCGATGTGGGAGCTAATTAGCATATTTGAAACATGCTTCTATCATGCTGCTAATCTACTGCATTAATGCTCCTCCTCTGTACAACCCTATGTAATTTTTGAAGTAGAATTGCAGTAGGCTATACTGCATTTCTACTGCAAATATGCTCCACACCACTACTGCATTAATGCTTCTTTGCTACTTCGATACTGCTGCATTTTTGTGCGGGATGGCGCCTCCTTTATAAGAGTCAGTTAATTCTGCCCGCCCAGAAGTTAATATCTTGACTATTTCCCACATCCAATGTGTGCCTGAAATAAAGCAGTAAAATTTTCAATAAACCACAGTTTCATACATAGAAAGGAAAACTCAAAGGATGTGTGCCACTCCTTGTAATGTACCTTTTACATATACATATGAGATGAATGTACTAAACTTATATAATTTTGTACGCTTAATGCAAGCGTGGGCTCGAAATAGAACATTACGTTTTCGTCTAACTTAGTGGATAACGCAATCCAAAGATCCCACGGTTCGTGTCAGATTTACCTAAGGTCGCGCAAAGAAAATCCAAGTCCACATAATGACCAGTTTAATGGTTTATTAGTTGACGCTCTCTAACTACATGTTCTACGTGAAGCCTCCAACTATTAAGCCGTCTCCCATGGCTCTGTCGGGCCGTCACCTTCGAGTCTTCTTCCGTTTGACCCCCCGATATTAATTCTGCACGTCTTTTATACAATACTTCTTATCACAAGTTGGATTCTGTGCTGCTTTATTTGGCGGTACATATTAATTTTAATTATTCAAATTGCACACGTCCACTTAAGTTACATAATTACCGGTAAGGTCATAAACTAGTCGAGTGCACAAGCAATCGACTCTAATCAAATTAATTAAAACGTCTGGGAATTATATTTGTGAGCTCTACATCCTGTTACTTTAAAAGAGCATTCAGAACAGATGATCCGCTAATGGTTTCCCCATCCACACGCGCCATTAAACGGATTAAATCTCGGCTCCGAGGCTTAATTGCTAGACCCCTGCAGCGACAGTGAGTATGCAGGCGGGGAGACCATCAGGGAATATTAGCAACATCGCCTTTTAACTGAGGTCGACCATATTTCGTCTGCAGGTCAGAATCATCTGTTTTGAATACGCTTAATTTAATTAAGTGTGATGTGCGTCATTTTAACAAATCAAAACATTTATCTGCTATTGTTTTTGACCATTTACAACAACAAAAACAATCCTTTCCCGTACCTGATTTTGGCCAATTAACTACCCATATATCGTCACTGCGGGCCTTGAATCCATCCTGTTCCAGTAAGTTAGCATGCATTGAAGGGAAGGGAGGCAGCGGCACTCCTTGAATATACATCACCCGGGCACTCCCACCGTAACTGTCGCTCACATCTTTATAAACTGGGCCCTTAAAAAACAGACCCAACATCCCGTTCTTCACGCCAGCCAAAAACACTGGCCGCAGCTCTGGGAACGTGTACAGATCCACCAACAGGATGTAAAGCCGTCTGAAGAACGACCTAATTGCCTTCAGAACCATTTTCCGGCTGGTAGCGGCCTAAAATATAATATCACATCTGTACGTGTAGCCATAGTGCTACACGTAAAAAATATCGGTGTTTATCTTGACTCTATGTATGGATAGACAAATCTCTCACACATCACAGTCATGCATGACAAATTTATGTGACAATTAAAGCTTCTTTAGACATAATTTGGGTAAACAACACTGTTACTGTCATTAACGCTCTAGTCACATCCTGGTGGGTAGAGGTAGGGGGGCGGTTGCAAGCAATTTAAACAGCCGTATGTGCGGAAAGCAGGGGCTAATTATATAAGGGGTCTGCTTAACTTAGCAAAGACAATCATACACTCAAACATGACATGGATATAGTACATATACTAGTATGCTCATCATATGCGGAGACTTACTGATCCTTACTGGTATTTCTGTCTGCATGGTCCCCCACCCCCACACACAACTTGTCCTCAGCTCCATTCTGGATTATGTTATACAGACCCACGCCTCCAACCCTCCCATCCTGACCTCTGTTCCAAATTGGAAAACGAACTTATTTTTGTTTGGTTAATTCCTCCATTCCCCCACCCCCACCCCCCCACACACACATCTTGACTGTAGCCTTCTTTCGCTATATCAATGTATTTGACAGATAAATCTATCACCTTTAAGCCTAACTTTTAAATGGAGAAACTTGACACGAACCAGGCCTCACAATATGTGCTGTTGTCTGGCGTGACGCTTTTTATGTACAGAGTGCAAGTGTAATAAACTTTTTCTGTCACACCTCCAACCCTACCCCCATACGAGCTGCACGTTGTACTGTACCCAGCACCAGTGATGGATGCTGTCTCTCAGTTCTTACAGAGATAGCAATTTATCCATCCTGGTCCATATTCCCAAAATTTTGCTCAAGTTTTACAATGTTACTTTGCACTTACTTAATTACTTGCACTGACTCCAGGTGCCGCTTCGGGGTGAAGCCTGCTGACGTCAGCTCCAGGTCAACCTCGATCCATGCCGGTGTCATGTACCAGAAGGTCCCCCATGACAGACTCTGTATCATGATAATTGAATATAATATACAGGGTCCCCCGGACCCTGCATTTAACCGGACCCTACGTTTCATGACAGCTATCACGAAACACAGAGTCTGCCCGTCATACGGAAGAACTTGGTCTAAAAGCTAGGGTCCTACTGTAGAATAGTAGATATTTAGTAAAAGCACTTTATATTGACAATCTGGGTATAATAGAATTATAAAAAAGCAAACCATTGATGCAAGTAAATGTCATATAACAAAACGGCGGTGGTTTGCACAACGACCTGGTGGTGTAGTGGACAGCGACACGGGTGATAAGCCTACTTTAAACCACGGCTAGCGCGTAGAACAAAAGACTCGACCGTGCTGTATTCGACATACAAGCACGTCATGTACGAGTGCGTTCCACGGTCTGTTGCACTACTAGTGTAGTAGCCAATCAGAGGCCGTGGTTTAAGCCAGATACAACACTCGTCGCCGAGCTGTGCGTGAAAATTACTTGTGTATTGTCTCGCCTGCGGCTCGCCAATACACTCGTAATATTTCACGTACAGCTCGGCGACTCGTATTGTATCTATCACATGGTATCCAATGACAGGGAAGTATGCAGAAATTAAACAATATGTTGGTTCGAGTCCCACACTAGAGTTGACATTTTAACGCCTCTATTTTCACTCTTGTTTTTTAAATCTATAGTTAAATATTTAACTTACTGTCCATTTATAGTGTGTCATTCCGCAATAATATGTGTTATACTCACTTTTGATTACATTCCATACCTTTTTTAATTGGACTTACTTAAAATATTTCACACATATCCCATTGCTTTGTGATGCTTTGGACTATATACACGCGTGACTTATTTGATTACCACTCGCACATGTGTGCAAGCTAGTGATACACAATGAATCGATGCTAAACTGTGCAAAACGTTCCTTTTATTTAGACTATACCCGTGACTTAGGCTGCAATGACATAAATGTGTGACATAAATGTGTGACAGCTAGCGTTATACAGTGCATCAATGCCAAATTGTGCAAAATATGTATTTTCTGGAAACTGACGAAATTAATTAGTTATTAAATATACATGCTTATGGAGTTAATTAAAAATGTACTCATTTAATTTTGTTTACCAATTTATATAAAGTTTTAATTTAAGTTGCATAACCTAAATTAAAATTGAATCAACCCAAAAGGAATGTGTTCCATGTTTTTCAGGGTATAAAATGGCTAGCTCTTCGCGATGTCTTACTCTGTCAGCATGCCCGCACGAAAACGCAGTAGATGCTCCAGTGCAGTAGACTACTGCAATCATACTGCAGATATGCCTCAAATCTGCTTCGCATTGGGCGCTAATTAGCATATTTGAAACATGCTTCTATCATGCTGCTAATCTACTGCATTAATGCTCCTCCTCTGTACAACCCTATGTTATTTTTGAAGTAGAATCGAAGTAGGCTATACTGCATTTCTACTGCAAATATGCTCCACACCACTACTGCGTTAATGCTTCTTTGCTACTTCGATACTACTGCATTTTTGTGCGGGTGGGTTTTCAAGCAGTGCGACCTTATTTACAACATGGCAGATACAGAAGACGAACAACCGACAATAAGAAAAGAGCAATAAGGAGAAGCGCTGCAAACCATTATAAATTAATTATAAGTTTTATACATTTATACTCGTTTAACTTCAAGACTGTTTAATAAAAGCGAAACTTACATGTACATTTAAGGTACATATTTATATTTATGATTTAGCTCGAAAGCTGCTGCTTATATTACAGAGCTGTAAGAAAGGTTACATGCATTTGGAGTAGAGAGTGGAAATGAAGAGAGGAAGAAGGGGAGATGGAGGAAAGTAGTAGAAAGCGAAGATAAGAAAACTGCCTTGTTACAAGAAATGCACGACAAAGAGAAAATGACATTGAGGAGAAAAAACAATTACTATACTGATTAATAAAATAAACTTTTTTTTGTAAAATCAGGAAGTTCACCAAGGGCACTTATGTATTCTGAATAAATTTATATTTCTTAAGTTATGTTCTTTCTCAATTGCCAAAAGATAATACTGCAAATTAGTTTATGAAATGCGAACAATGCACATTTATACTACGCTTTACACTTTAACAGAGGTTAAGAATGTTTACCTTTAATGTTTTACCTTTAATCCTTATAATTCTTCTCTCCGTATCAGTTAACATTATGTTTTAAGTGTGAGATTTCATTATTGCTCTTCAATGCGGACTTTCAGTATTAAAACGTAGGGTCCTAGGACTTTCCATACTGAAATAGAGTGTCTAGGGGGACTCTACATTTCAGAACATAGAGTCCGGGACCCGTTATTTCGAGACAGGGAGTCCGCCGGACTCTCAGTTTTAAAACACCGGGTCCGCCGGACCCTAGAATGGTAGGACTCTGTGTTGCTTGACACCGGTGTGGCAGGAGTGCACGTCCTAGTACCGCAAGTCCGCCCGGACACGAAGTCCTGGAAATGCAAGTCCTGGGGCATGCTTTGCTAGGAATGACAGTCCTAGGACATACGTTTACTAGGATTAACTAGGACGAAGGCTCCCAGGTTATCAAGTCCTACGTGTAGTAATGCACTTGCTAAATGGACATGCGTTCCTAACATTTTAGTAATTAACGCATATATATAGTTTACACAGAGGAATGACAAGAATAAAAATATATAGAGATATACTAGATTTAAAGATATAATGAACAAGTTCATTTTATTTTGATGTTTTATTTTCCGATAGGCAGTTTATATGCATATTAATGAAGTAACACAAACTACACGGTTCCCATAGTTTTTCTTCATTTATTTTATTATGTGTATGTTTTTTGTAGTAAACACAATTTTTACATGTCATTGACCTTCTTAGGTCTTCAAATGAGGGGAAAATAACTACACAAGAAAACGGGATCTCCGTTCTTAGACTAATTTATTTTTCGGTTTACACTCGCAGAAATCGAAAAATTACTTCAAACTCAGTGGAAAGTTGTTCTTGGAAAGAGGATTTAAGACAAATCGATGCAGTTTAGAATTTGAAATTATATATAATGTTCTGTTATATTCCTTTGGTATTTTGGCGCATTGAGGCTTTAAAAACTAGTTTAAGTGTAATCACATAATTGAGAATATTATTCATTAAAAACAACAACATACAGCTAGCTAGAACAAGTTAATTGAGGTGGGGGTGGGGTAAGGTCAGGTCAAAGGTAGGTCTCCAACCCAAGTATGTAACAAGACGATTCATGAATACATACCTTATGATCTTGCACGCTAACCACTACACAGACGAGCTGAAATTGCAAACATTTCATTGTTTGTCTTATATATGGCCCACCAGAAAGATTTTCATATACATTAATAATTATATCATTTAACCATGTTATTACATAAGGATAGGACTTTCAAATGGCCAGACTTACATTACCGTCATAGGTGACAGGAATAAAAGTCCGCCAGTAATATAAGTCCTACCTACTATAATTATGAGGCAGGAACCTAAGTCCCACAAGGACTACTTTTCCCAAGTAATGGTAGTCCTGGGGACAACCATTACCAGGAACCGAAGTCCTGGGGGACTTGGATTACTGTCACACCGGCTTTGGATAGCCAAAAACGCGACATTTCAAAGCTCAAATTTCAAGTCAAGATTGATGTTCTTCATCCTCCTGCAGAATATCTGATTGAACTCCTCGTTCTGAGCCAACGTGAAATGATTCTTCCAATCTCCCACCGTGCCTGAAAACAAACAAACAAATAAGTGAAAGGAAATGGATGTCCATTTTAAACTGAATAAAAAAATCGGCTTCATCGCCTCGATCCCGAATGTATTTATGCTTCACTTTACCACTTATTGCTTGCAGTTGGATTTTCATGTACTTTAAATGAAATACAAAGTCGTGATTTTGTCATGTTTTTGTAACCCGCACGAACAACTGTGAAGTACACAAAACAGTCATTCCAGCACACTTTTGTCGCCATATTTTATAAACTAGAACCAAACAATACAATACACACACAATGGACAATAGAAGTGTCACCCCTGCTGAACCTGCTATACTTTGGGGGAGATAGATGACTGGGGAGTGATATGCTCCTGGCATCATTTTATTAACATCAAATTTAAAAAAAATCCACGGTATAGAGGTTTTATACTCATTAGTGACATTATAAGTAGACCAGGCATTATAACTACTCAAGATCTGCCTACTTTGATCACTCTTATTCAGGGGGTGATATTTCTATTGTCAATTGTGTGTATGTAAATATATGTGCCATGGACTTATAATTTTATTTTGACCACACTTCGATGCTCCAATACTGGGAGTGGGACACACACGGAAATATCCCAGTGAAGCTTTCTGAAAAAACCGTAGGCTCATACACAATAGCAAATTAAATAAATTATTTTGATATTACTCCTCTGAAAGAAAGGATGAATCCTCATTCTGCACCGATATTACCTTTCCTAAATATGCCTTCGCTATCCTCCGCCCAGACACTTCTGACATCTTTCTTGTCTTTCTTCATATGCTGAAAGGAGCAAAGTCTAGCCACGTCGCTGTAGAACTGCTCTGATTTTTCATGTCCCAAAAACTCGGCCACTAGACGCACTTGTTTCTTAAGGTCCTGAAATAAAACAAAACGGTGATAGGCATTAAGATATGTTCAGTAATGAATAAAATGATTTAGGTACATGAAGATTGTTTGGTGCAAGGTCCACTTTTTCAGAAAAAGACCCCCCCTTCCCGGCTAAGGACTTCCCCTCCCATCTTTAAATGATAAAATCGGCAAATTGAAACAAGAAAAATAATATGATCACTGCTATCCGCATACTGCAGTAATGTTGTCGCTATGTACTTTGTTTGTCTTTTGGTCCCTTCGTTGGTAAAAATCCCCCCGTCGCCCCTTCCTCTCCTCTAGCAAGCATTTCATCCGCCATTGAGGAAACCTGCAGTTTTCTTACCATTTGCATGTCCTCATACGTCACAATCAGGGCGTTTGGATTATTCTCCAGAACTTTCAACCACTCTTCCACGTGGTCGAACCAGTCGCCATATTGAGCTGAAACGACAGGTGCATGGGCGCTAATTGTAACGTAAGCGTTTAAAAAACCTCATTTCTGAAACAATCGATAGAGGGCGCTCGTGTCATTTATAGCGAAGTAACGGCGCTAGTAGAGAAACCTCACCAACACGTTAAAGATCTGGGACCGGTCTCACAACGGTTATTGCAAATACTTTGGTCTATATCGCTACATGGTAAAATGCAGTAACCAACTGTTGATGCATTCCAATGATCAAATGCAGTTGTAGTGTTAGTTGGTTCAGTGAAGTAAAATTTAAACGCGGATATACATGTAGGGTTCTTATTGTGTGTGTTTGGGTGGGGGGGAGGGGGAGTATAACACTGTAGACGTGAAAAGCACTACATCATATAGAGTGCAAAAAACATTTTGGTTTTGTTCAATTCACTCGTTACCACTCTTAATTCAATATGGAAGCAGAGAAGAGGGCCACCTCAGAAGTAATGGGGAATGAGGACATATTGGCTCCCATAGATTTTACCTTTGCCGTTCACCAGCAGTTCATACATCCCGTTCCAAGAGCAATTCGCTGACTTCAGCTCCATACCTGTTGCGTGATAATATAAAGACACATATGCATCCTTTGGGTTACGAACTACGAAGATTATCTTGCTATTCAGCGCCGCCTTTGGGAAAAGTTTTAGAGGCACGTGCGTATTCAGGACACGCGGTGACGCCATATTTTCTATTACGTAGAGCGGACACAGTTCCGGAAACATGGCGCCTCCTTTAGAAGAGTCATTTAATTCTGCCCGCCCAGAAGTAATCATCTTGACTATTTCCCACATCCAATGTGTGCCTGTAAAAATAAGTCGAAATGTTGATAAACCGCAGGTTCATACATAGAAAGGATAACGCGAAGGATATGTGTGCCAATTCTGTTATTTTAATGGCGCATTAGAACAGATGATCCGCTTATGGTTTTCCTGCCTCCACAAGCGCCATTTACCGGATTAAAACTTGGCTGCAAGGATTAATTGCTAGACCCCTGCAGCGACGGCGTGTTCAGAGGCGAGAGGGGGGGGCGTCGCTTTTCAAGTGAGGTTGACCTTGTTTAGTCGGCAGATCACTTACTCTGCGGATCATTTGTTCTGAATGCGCTTTAAGTGTGATGTGCGACATTTTAAGAAGTCAAAATATAAAATAATATAAATATAAACAATAACCACCCCTTTCCCGTACCTGATTTTGGCCAATTAACTACCCATACATCGTCACTGCGGGCCTTGAATCCATCCTGTTCTAGTACTAGTTAGCATGCATTGAAGGGAAGGGAGGCAGCGGCACTCCTTGAATATACATCACCCGGGCACTCCCACCGTAACTGTCGCTTACATCTTTATAAATTGGACCTTTAAAAATCAGGCCCAACATCCCGTTCTTCATGCCAGCTAGAAACACTGGCCGCAGTTCTGGGAACGTGTACAGATCCACCAACAGGATGTAAAGTCGTCTGAAGAACGACCTTATTGCCTTCAGAACCATTTTCCGGCTGGTAGCGGCCAAAAATAACATATTACAGTTTGCATATTGTAAGAATAAACATGATTCCTTTACGGAAATCCCCTATGTAGCCTATAAACACTATCAGGAAACGCAAGACCTATAGGATCTTGTAAAAATTCGGGCAATTTCATATAGGATCCGGCAGGACACTTTGGGACGTCCTAAATAACTCTATAGGTTATTGGCCAATTTCCGTTATGGGGTTATCCGGTATATGTGAGCTTTTACGTGTAAATGTAAAAGATGCATGGTTTTTGGCGTAAAGACGACTGGCTTCCTTGAGATTCTCCGCGTCGTGATAGAGCTTTGGTGAGTTGAAGGCAGGTTACTCGTTTTATGCTTTAAACTCAAATAAAATCGATCATTCATGTATATACAACGTACATGTATAGGCTTGGGGTGGGGGCAAACAATTAAAGTAGACATAAGCACTGGAAGCAGGGCCTAAGGGGTCTGCTAAACTTAGGGACCATTCAGATCGAGACGAGGTCTAGCTAGGCCGCGACCTAAATATCGCAGACCTACATGAAAGGAAGACCGCTTAATCCTGTAATGATCTCTCCGCCTCTCACACGCCTCCCCACGCGTCATCCCTCGACCGGTTGAATTTAACCGAGATTTAATTACTATGCCCCTGCAGGGACGACGCGTGGGGAGGCGTGTGAGAGGCGGAGAGAACAAAACAGGATTAAGCGGTCTTTCTTTCGTGTAGGTCCGTTATATTTAGGTCACAGCCTTGCCAGACCTCGGCTCTTCTCATTCTGAATGGTCCCTTAGCTAAGAGAATCATACACTCAAACATTACATGGATACAGTACATATACTAGTATGCTTAACACACGCGGAGGTTTACTTATTTTTTGTTTGCATGCATGCCACCCCACACACACACACACACACACACACACACACAAAAAAAAAAAAAAAAAAAAAAAAAAAAAAACGTGTCTTCAGTCTTTTTTTAATATATTATACAGATCCTATCAATGTATTTGGTAGCTAAACCATACCATAAACATCTAAATGGAGAAACTTGACGCAAAGCAGGCCGTAGTCTGGCGTGACGCCTTTTATGTATACAGTACAGTGTAGTAAACCGTCACTATTCCTGTCACACCTCCAACCCTTCCACCCTGACCTCTGTTGCTAATTCGAAGACTTACTTATTTCTGTTTGATTGATCCCCTCACCACCACATACATCTTGCCTTCAGTCATTTTTCACTGAGGCATGCCATATCAATGTCTTTGACAGATAAATCCATAACCTTAACCTTTGCATGGAGAGACCTGACGCAAAGCAGGCCTCACAATATGTGCTGTAGTGGCGTCGCGCCTTTTATGTACAGAGTGCGCTGTAGTAAACAGTCCCTATTTTTGTCACACCTCCAACCAAAACGCTATACGAGCTGCGCTCTGTGCTGTACTCAGCACATGCAATGGATGGAGATGAAGTCAACTCAATCGTTACAGAGATAACAATCCATCCATATTGGCCCAAATTCCTAAAGTTTAGCTTAAGTTTTGCAATGTAACGTTGCACTTACTTACTTGTACTGAGTTTAGGTGCCGCTTCGGGGTTAAGCCTGCTGACGTCAGCTCCAGGTCAACCTCCAGTCCATGCGGTGATTAAGCGAAAGCGCGTCCCTGTTTTTGACCCGATAAGACGTGACCTCTGTCGCACATATACAAGTGTTTGTAACTCTAGATCTGGCTGCGTTTGTTACAGCAGGCCCTGAGAGAGAGATAGAGAAAGAGAGAGAGAGAGAGAGACAGAGAGAGAGGGAGAAATTTGTAGATATTTGGTGTTAACCGCTCATTTCACACTCTGGAGCCCTTAGTGTATACATGGATTGATTTAAGCAAATTTTTTACCCGGAAAGCGTGTGTGTAATTTTGACATAAAAGTATTTTTTGTTATTTACCTCCACGGAAAATCATGGCATGTGGCAATCCCATGTCATTCTACATCTGAAATTTAATACATTAAGGGGATGATGTGGCAATAAAAACGTGGAGGATGGGGTCAAAAATTAGGTGACCAAAAAGTATACGTATGTTTTTGACACAGAAGGAAATGATGAAAGAGTTGGGGCAGATGATATAAAAGGTAAGCAGACCAGTGCAGTAGCAATACGTAGATGTGTGAGATCAGAGACAACGTCTGTCAAACAGAGGCATTAAAATATCAAAAGGTAGGACCTTAGTAATAATGTAGAGACTAATTGAAAGGTGAAGATATATTCTGTGTTTAAACTTACAGCTTTGATAACAATTACTGCAATGTCATGCTTTAATCGTGATTTGTGTGATACTAAAAATCAATAAGAGCGGATTATAATTTAATATTAAGTGTTAAGACGTAGGACTAGCGCCAACGTGCAATCATTTTCTGTAAAAGTGGAATAGATGGAATTCTCGGTATCTAGGAGTGACTTACCCATTGGTTAACTGTCATTAAAACACTCTAGTTTACCAGTGGATTAGTTGTCAGGCTGTTACTGCGTTAGTCTAAACTATGCAATATGAAAATGAAAGTGCTGCATATCTGATGAAGAAATCAATAAGCTATTCTATTTACTATGTAAACATAAACAATCCGTTTTGTTAACAGCGATACGCGCTGCGACTCGTGTCACACCATCGGAGAAATATATTCAACTTAATGTGTTAAGCCCCCTTTACACTGGCCGACGTCCTTTCTGTGTCCTTTGTGCGACCATGAAACTGGCATCGCTGTGGTCGGGGAAAGGAGGCACAAGCAGAATGGGAGCAGAGTGAATGTTGAATGACCGGCCAGTTGTCGGCACGTGAAGTGTTTATTTATTTATTTTTTTTACTCTCACACGGGGCAGCACTATGGGACACAGAAAGGCCGCCGTCCAGTGTAAAGGGGGCTTAAAGCAGTGAGGTCGATCGTCTGTGTGCAACGGACTAAAACTGGATCCACTCAGCATACATTATCATCTGGGTAAACCTCGTCTGTATCTCGTAAGTATGCGGGTGTAAAGTTCGGTTCATTTTGTAGTTAATTGCATACAGTGGACTCACACTCAGCTGTTAATATCCTGACGGGGTATATAATCATAGATAGAAATATGTGCACTGTCAATTTAACGACCAGACGTGAAATGTAAGCACACCGAAGTCACTGGCCAGCGCAAGGACTCAAAACGTATGGATTGAATCTTTACTAAAATCAAATGTTATACTAAGACTAATATCCGTCAGTTCAAATGGGTCCAATGGTCAAATACGTATAATGTTCACTGTGTACAGTTAGTCATTTTGTTTACTAGGAACTTATTTATTCATTAATTTATTATTATTATTATTATTATTATTATTATTATTATTATTATTATTACGTATAAAAACTTAGGTGTAATAGTAGTTCAAACCACGTGTTGTAGATAAGGAAAGCAGGAGATGCATGGGCACATGACGCGACACTTTTATAACAATACATATGTCAATAACATGGTATTTGCCCTTTTAATCGTCACTCAATGATACCAGTATTTGTCGATTAATAAAAAAAAAACGACGCTACGTGCACAATCGTCAGCATTGCTGAATGCTTTTGTTGATACAGCGCAGTGATTGCTAAGCTCCGGATGACTAAAACTCATTATTTATATCAAGGTGCTCCCTCTTGGATTATTTCGTCAATCTTTGAACATATGCTTTATATGGTCGTTGTTTGATCACGTCTCAGTTTTGTTGAATTATGTGATGCGCCAGTGAGAAGGGTATGTGATGTAATCAGGCCTACCCAACTACCAGACTCGGCACATAAGGATCCTGAATTCACCGGTATATCGGACCACACTACACGTTTTCAAGGTATGTGTCAGATCGCATTTCTGAGTATCATACCCCACAACAAATTCTGTAGGACGGCCGCGGGCTCATCCTGTCGGTGTTCTGACTGATACTCCGAAATGCGATCTTACACATACCTTGAAAACGGGTAGTGTGGGCCGATATACCGGTTAATTCAGAATCCTTATGTGCCGAGTCTGGTAGTTGGGTAGGCCTGGTGATGGAACAACGAATACACGTGGCACAATCTTTGTGTCATATAAATCTGTCTTTGCGTCACGTAAGATAGTGTATCCTTCTTTATATAAGTACAGAAACAACGCTGATAGTCTTTGTTATTTGATTACATCTCAGACAGCGAATGTTTGTTTTCCTGAATTTTGTGAGGTGCCGGTGAGAATTGTGTCTGTGATGCATATACTGTATGATATTTAACAACAAAATATAAATTGCATATTCTTTGGGTCCTTTATGTAAGAACGCGTACCAGAGTCTTTGATATTATTTATTTCAGCTGAAATTCAAGCCGTTCAAGATGGTGTTTGGGTTTATAAGTGCGTTCTTCAGACGCCTGTATCTCACTATAATCGACCTGTATACGTTACCAGAGTTACGACCGATGTTATTTGGGTTCATGAAACAGCGTCTTCTGGGAGGTGGTGCAAATATTGAAAAGGTTCACGACGGCCATGGGGGGATTGTGTCCACTTTGTTCGTGGATGGTGTCCCGCTGCCGCCTTTCCCGTCTCTACGAAGCAACTTACGACAAATTGACAAGTTTCAGGTCCGCAGCGACGATATCTGGATCGTTAATTGGCCAAAATCAGGTACAGTGGACTGGAATATTCTTCTGAACAATGTGTACTGTGGAACTAATATTTCTATTGATTCAGTGAACATTACTAATTATAATAAAACATTGGGTATCATTGGCATTACCAATGAGCAGGGCAATGAACCGAAAATAATTCTGTAGAAATTCCAGTTTTGCATTGTGTAATGGATTAAGACAAAAAAAAATAATAATAAGATACCAATTGTAACTTTGGGTACCTCTGGTTGCACTTCTGCGATCATATTGAAGAATGCCAACGTTTAAGAAACGCTTATTTTTATCTGAAAATCTTTTTTGATTTAGGCTTTTTGAAAACGGACTTGTACATGTAACTGTACATGTAGCTATTTCATGAGGTTCCTGTCTCCACCAAATCTTATCTACGGGTAGATTTAGGTACAAGTACGGTCTGGTTTTTACAATCAAACCCTGGTCTTTCTCTTCCAGGTACACATTGGATGTGGGAGGTAGTCATGATGTTGTCCTCGGGACAAGCACAATTAAGAGACTCGGTAAAAGTAGGCGCCATGTTCCCGGAAGCATGCACGCTCCAGGCGACAGAAAAAATGACGTCACCACGTGTCCTGGATACCCACGTGCCCTTTAAACTCTTTCCAAAGGCGGCGTTAAAGTCCAAGATCATCTACACTGTTCGTAATCCCAAGGACGCGTGTGTGTCTGCCTATCACCATCAGAAAGGCATGGCGGTGCATAACAAGGTATCCTGGGAAGGCACGTTTGAGTTGGTGACTAACGGGAAAGGTAAGGAATTCTAAGGGACTTCACGTTTGACATCTAAGACAATATCTCGGAATATTACCAACCACGTTTATGATCATATTTGTCTGTTTGTGATTATTAACAATGTGCTAGAATTTATACAGACTTTAAGACGCCAATATATCATTACAGCTCATTACGGAGACTGGTTCGACCACGTGGAAGAATGGTTGAAAGTTCTGGAGAACAATCCAAACGCCCTCATTGTGACGTATGAGGACATGAAAATGGTAAGCACAGGATTCCAGATTTTTTTAAATAGTTTATGCACACAAGTAGTATGGGGCCTCACCCACTGTATTACATATTACTTTATTTCAGAATTTCAGAAATGTGAAGGGGGACCTGCGTCCCTAAACACGTCATCATGAACGTTCATATATTTCTTATATGGGTATATCAAAGATGCTTATTGAAACGTTGGGAAATTTAATCATAATTTAAATTAAAATATGAAGAAATAAATAATATAGTCAAGCTTGCACCAAATATTATATGACAGGATCTTTTCATGGCGATGGTTGTTAATATTTAACTTTCATAATGTATTAATTTCATTTTTGTCGCTTATTCATGTTTATCAAATGTATTAAGGATCTGAAGAAACAAGTGCGCCGTGTGGCAGAATTCCTGGGCTACAAACGATCAGAGAAGTTTTACGATGACGTAGCCAAGCTGTGTTCTTTTGGTAACATGAAAAAAGAAAAGAGGGACATCAAATCGGCATGGAGCAAAGAAAGTGCAGGGATATACAGAAAAGGTAAATGTCGATGCACAAAAGTAAAATACATTTATCATTATTGACTTCTTATTATCGTGGTACCTCTCGTAATTTTTCCGCAATAAAAGACGAAAGGAGTTCTTAGATGTATATCGGTCATTGTATTTTCTTTATTCAGCTTGGAATATTTGTTATTTCGTCTGCTGCATTATTGTTTGACATTGTATATCATTAGACTTAATACTGGGGTAGCAACTTGAACACCTCCTCAGCCTGGAACATTTAACACTGCAAAACCATCAATTCAGTTTATTCAGTTCTTCACATTGATTTCCGGCTTATTCAGTGTTTATTATACTATATTAAAACCAATTATATTAAACCATGTATGATATTAAAACCAATTGCAAACATTGCAAACCTTTGCACGGTCGGTTAATATTGAATGTGACATTTGCTGTTTGTAGGTACGGTGGGAGACTGGAAGAACTATTTCACTGTGGCACAGAATGAGAAATTCAACGAAATATACAACAGGAGAATGAAGAACATTAATTTGGATTTAAAATTCGAACTTTGAACGAATTGAAGACAAGGCTCAAATACAAATCACATACACTGTACGTGTGTATATAAGAAGCATGTTTATTACTTCATAATACCCTGTGCCTTCTGCGTCAGGCTTTTCGGTAATTTCCGTCTTTCTTCGGGTTTTCCCGGTATGAGAAGACGAACGCCTTCTAAAGAACTTGCTGTCTTTGGAATGTCGTCAAGGTACGTCTCCCAGGCAAATTTTTGCGCATCCCGGAAGCAGTACTGCACTTTTAGATTATCTTGCCGATGAGTGGCGTACATAATGTAAAAGTTGCACATCTCGTCGTGGTTCGTGGGTCTGTTAAAACAGGGAAAAACATTGAAAAAAATACATGTAACACGTGGTCTGTTTTACTTTAAATCGTTTTATTTTCAAAATTATTTTACCAAGAGCTGTTATTTGCAGAATGCACTTTGCTGGAAAATTGATCACAAATATTTGAAAATTCGTGCGAAACAGAACAATTCGGAAGAGGGAAGAAGGCTCATATTTCGAAAATAATTCATTACAGACTTGATTATTTTACCTCTATTAATATCAAAATAGTATACTTACTGACGGGCTCTGTTTTCCTTAAATACCTTTAATGCATTTCTAAGGGTGCTTTCCCAGAGATTTAGATCGATCTAAAGATTAAGTTTTAGATCGACCTAATTCCCTGGGGGTTCACGCTAAATTGCAGTCAGCCGAGCGGGCACCATAGTTAATTACCCCCTTACAGCTTTTAGTAGGCGGGACAGACGCTTAAGCCGGCTAAGCTGACAGTAATCTAGTGAGACTCCCCACAGGGATAGATCGATCTAAAAATCTATGGAAATGGGGTGTAATTTTTTAAGCTATGGCTGTATTTTTTACAGTGCACATGTACATGTATATTGGTTATCGGAAATGTAATAAAAGTGTATATAGCAAAAAAACTCACCCTATTTCTGTTATATGTTCCCGGCTCGTACTGTTCATAGTGCAACGCGAGGCCTTGATGGAGCGGTTTGAAAATAAAATAAAGATGAAGTGGAATCGCGTTTGAACTGATGAAAAGAACAAATTTAGCATCTGCAAGGAGACAAAAAACGTAGTTATCTGTCTACATGTATGGAGTGACAGCAAACTAGTTACGTGAACAAGTGAAATCGTTTCCATCCTTTTCAAAGGGTCAGAGTAACGTTTGATCTAAACCTGTAAGATCTTTATGTTAAAGTTCTTTTCTGAAACTGGCAGGTCGAGATTTTTAATTTTGTCTTCTGTTCTGTGGAATGTTACCATGTCTTCGCTGTAGAAATGTCTACTGCACAGCAGGAATAATTAACTGACATCAATTCCTTTTCCTGTTATCTCGGATGGTGCCTATTTACTGATTGGGATGGCAACTATCGTGCTACGTGCAGTGAAATTGCCACAAAGACTGATGAAATAGCCAAGAAAGTAAATGTGAAGCAATTGTGAACTAGTTATCAATATAGATTGAATGTTTCAAATTCATTTTTCATTTCATCCTGTTGCTTTCTACGTACCAGGATGTCACCTTTACGGATGTCAATGCCAGGATTTGTCACGTTGTAAAACATCTGGAAAGAGTAGAAGGGAAATTACACCAAAACAAAAGAAAAAAAAAATAACTTCAGACAGATTTCCTTAAGTCAAAGTTGTTAAGATGAATTCCATTCGTTATTATATTTATGTTTTAAGTTAACAATGTTAACGGGGTCCGAATGCTTTTAATTCAAGTTGCTGATGTAAATTTAAGAAGGCCTGTACCTTGTGCACCTCCATCTGATCTGATTAAAAAAATTTAGTAAAATAAAAATAAAATAAATAAATAAATAAATAAATAAATAAATAAATAAATAAATAACAATATCGTCAAAGAACGGTTCATTTTGCACTGATTACCTGTGGTTGCTGTGGTGACATGCGTCCTATCTCGGTCCACACGCCGCGTCTGATGCGGTAAGCGGAAGTGACGACACCTGGATATAGGTTGAATAAACATTGACAAGATACACAAATAAAAATTCTCCAAAGTATGCTAACTGGATGGTCAGCATTGCCTCTTTAAAAAATTAATCGGAAAAATATACTTTGGAAAATTTTATCACAAAATTTGAATCATTGCTAATGCCAACCCCTGTGCACGTTTATAATTACGTGAAACGCGGAGAGTTCTAGAACAACTTTTTCGACAAGCAATTGGTCTTCTTGTGGCTTTCTGCCAGGTTTATGATATACGTCTTGTACGAGTGTTTAAATGGCTTTAATTACCTAGGTTATGCGCATGCGTTCGGTAGGCAAAGGGATATATGACTTCTTCACTATCCCATCTGCATGCAGACTCCATGTGAAACTCTTGAAATATGCAAGATATAATACATAGAGTAATCTTAAAGACTAAACTTTAATAATCATTATTAAAATAATACATGTATTTGGCCTCTCAAATCGATAAAAATATTTTTGGTAGCCTTTATAAATTAAATGCAAAGTTAAACTGATTATTTTAGTATAGATTGATAGGCAATTCTGTTAAAATAGAAACAAAAACAAAATGACCCATTATAATATCTTGCATTATAACTAATCTATCACTAGTTTCTTTTAGTTTAATTCAATTTGATTTTCATTCAAAATTAATGAGAAAAGTGTGTAATTATACTGTTCTGTGAAGTATAAGATGATCATTCATTAAACTACTTTAAAAAGAGGTTTTTAGTATTTTTGTCATCTGCTGAGTTCATATTTCCTAGTTCTGGTGGTTACCGATTCCATTCAAACGAAGCCGCATATTCAAAAGTTTTTTTTCTCCACATGCACATTGATAAAATATGGAAATCGGGTAAACAACCAATAGTGATACATGCACCTCTAACTTAAAGGAAGACACTGTAAACCCAGATCTTACCATTCATTCTCGGAGGGACGAGTCCCCAGTTACCAAGAACGTAGAAATCCGCTTGCATTGGCTGACTGGATTTAGGGAAAACAAAATATTTCATGTACATTTTCTTCAGTTGTGGTTTGCATGATGCTATCGAAGAAATTGCAGCAATCGCTTTACAAGAAGTCATTTAATGTTCCTTGGTACACTTGTACCTACACACAGTATTGGTTTATGAATGAAATTTCAAAGATAAGATGCCCAGAAAAACAACCATAGTCATAGCCAGTTGGATACTTAGATGTATGTTAAAACATTAATCACGAATCCCCTTTTTTAATTTAATTTTATTTAATTGTATCTTAATTCATAGTTGCAGTGTGGACTTACGGGTCCTTGGTCATGTGTAGGGTCACTCCCGAGTTGTCCGTCTGTCCAACTGAATAAAAATAATTCCATGATTGGAAAATTTGATAGAAATGGGAGACAGGGTTTAGTTTCATGTACGTTTGTTCTGTGATATGAATTTGTCTCAACAGTTATGTATACATGTGCATAAAAAGTGACAACAGGCAGTACGTGTTCCTGAGTGGAGTAAACATATTCGAGAATACGTGCAAGTACATGTGCCTGTGAAGATATGGGTGAATGTATGCGCATTTACAATTGCAAGTGTTAGTCATAGATTTGGACTTGAACTTTGATAATAACAGGAAGGTGAGGGCACCGATGGAATGAAACATTGTGGATATGGAAAAGCGTTAGGGAACAAACTCCACACTTCACGCCTAAAACAATAGAATATACCATTACCTTTAAACCTGTCCTTGTAATGCATCTGCAGCACAATGTATTGAATGCTTGTGTTACCTCCTATACGAAAACCAACGTCTGGAACAACAGTCCACATAGTCAGTATAATAATAATAATAATAATAATAACAATAATTTAAAATCTAAACTTCTTAAAAGTTCAGTAGAATTTACAGTGATAAAATGCTAAAATATCAAAGTATTATAAACAAGCTGTAAAATCATACTTAAAACATCAAATTAAAAGACAGTCTTTCGAATTGCACAATTATAACAGCTCCAACTATTAAATGTCTTTTTAAAAAAGATGTAAAACCATAGTTCAGACAGAAAATTAACAGAAAGGGGGAATTATTAGATAGCAAAACAAAAAAATATATATATTTGATATAGAGTTATCCTACGCAATCTGACGTTAACTGTTACCTTTAGGCAGGCGTTTGGCGGGAGCGTCCAGTGCCCATGCGTAGACAATTTCCCGCATGCCGTCCTTGCACACTGATTGGTCCGAGTGGTCGTTCATCTCGCCACAGTTCCTGGGAGACAGTGCGAGAGTTGACTTAAATCAAGAAATTTAAATAGTCGTACATGTTTTACGACTGGACATACCTTATACCTCACTAAATATATTTTCTTAATGTCTTATACATGGATTTCTGTTCGACTTAAAATGTTTTTGATGAGTATGACTCGATCACTGCCGCGCTTCTGACGCAAATGTAAGTATAAGCCCAAACCAGAAACTAACTGACAATACCATTTCCACATATGAACCCAACTATATTTACCCCTGTTGAATAAAAGGCGTATAATATGATGTTGCCGCATTTTTTTTTTAAATTTTAGACGACTATGGGCACATTCAGAGTTAGATGATCATCGGACTAACATATCCGCGGAACAAATATGGCCGAGGCGCTTAAAAACGCGGCGCATGTGCACCTAAAAGACACTGAATAAATTACAGGTGGGGATAAATCGTTAAGGTTTCGAGCTGGTCGGCGGATCTGTTAGTCCGCAAGTTAAGACTGGTTGCAGGTCCGTAGCCAGCAATTTCAAAAGGGGGGTTCTTTTTCTGAAAAAGTGGACCTTTTCACATAAAAATTTCATGTACCTACACACACTGGACAAAAGAAGTGTCACCCCCTAACTCAGAGCAAAAAAAGGAGGCAGATCTTGGGTACTCATAATGCCTGGTCTACTTATAATGTGACTAATGAGTATAAAACTGCTATACCATGGAATTGTATTGTTGGTCTTGTACATGTACAGAAAATGTTATTCCTGTCTTCCTCCAATATGGCAAAATACAGGTAATTATCTAACGGTTATAGGTGCAAGTTATTAACCTGAAGAGGCGGAATATAAGCAATTTCAGTATATCGATACAATTGAATTGTTTAGTCAGAACCGTGCAGAGGGTCTGGTCTCGGTATAGAAACACTGGATCAAGAGACATATTGTCTCTGATGGGTCATCCAAGAAAAACTACTGGCCGTGAAGACCGACGACTGATTTTGATGTCCAGGTTGTTAAAGTTCGACACTGCTTGTCAGTTGACAACACAGTGGAAAAATTTCACACATAAGAATGTGTCGGTGAAAATTGCTAGGCGTCGGTTACATGCTCATAGAGTGTACAGCAGGGTAGCAAGACTGAAACCTCTTATATCGTTACAAAACAGGCAACGTGGAGTGAACTAGGGTCAACAGGATCTGGAACTGGACAGTCCATGACAATTGGTCCTATATATTTTTTTCTGATGAGTGTCGCTTTGGTCTGACCTCTGATGACAGACGGGTACAATGCTGGCGAACTGCTGGTAAAGCATTTAAACCACATGTACTTAATTTTCGAACCCGGAGCAGCATATTCATCATGGTGTGGGGCTGCATCAGCATCCATGGCGTGGGCGAATTGATAGTGGTTGATGAAAACATGAATCACTAGAAATATATCGATGTTTTGGAGTCAGGCTTGCTACCTTCTATTACTAACATGTTTGGTGACAGGAATTATCCATTTGTTCACCAGGATGACAATGTTCCTTGTCACAGGACCAGAGCAGTTGATGATTGGTTTGACCAACAGGACATTCGCAGGGTGATGTGGCTTGCCCAGAGTCCTTATGCAAACATAATAGAAAATGTGTGGAATGATGTGTCAAAACTTTTCACAAATGCCCGTCTAACAAGCAGAGAAACTCTGTTATATTCAGTGTTTCATGCTTGGGCCAGCATAAGCCCTGAACGCAACAGACAATTATACGAATCCTTGCTTCGTAGACTGGCACCTATTATTAGGTCGCGTGGCTATGCCACTAAGTACTAATTTTGGACTTGAAATTGCATATTTTGGTAGAATGTATATTTTTTTCTCATTTTGTGATTTTTTTGTGAAATTTGATGTTAATAAAATGATACCAGGAGCATATCATTCCACAGTCATTTATCTCCCCCATAGTAATGGCTCAGTAGGGGTGACACTTCTTTTGTCCAGTGTGTGTAGATCAAATTTTACCCAGAGTGGACCTTTTTCCATGCAAAAGGGGCGGTTCTTTCGAAACCCCCAAACCTCCCTGGCTACGGGCCTGGGTTGTGAATACGAACAATGACTGTGGATAGTAAAATGTAGCTAACCAGAAAGGCTTCGTGTCACCGGGCGTTCCACAGCCGTACAGCATCATGTGATGGGTGATAGCTTTGGACGCATGGGGTTCGTACTGCACTGAAATGGGAAGAGTAACAGGTTACCATGCAATATCAATTAACAGATCTTCATGTGAAAAAACATTTATCCGAGATTATAGTTTATATAGTGTAGTGAAGCGCAGTTATAGTTTATATTACAGGGTTGCACAGTACAGTATGACATTAAAATAGTAGTAAATTATGTCCATACACCGGGTATAACCATTCCAACAGATCAAATTTCGGGAAACGAAAGAGGTCTTGCGGTAGTGGTTGTCATGAACAATAATATAAAAGCAGACATTTCTGTAGACTTAAATTTCTATTCCCTTTTTATCAGGACGATTTCATTCCATCCACCGAGTTCTACATTTGTGAGTAAGAAAACCACCACTCACATATGTACGAGGGCTCAGTGTCGTCTAACTTCACTGCATGGCACACTAAGGCATCCGGCTGCAATGAAAATGGTTTGATTAATCTTGTAGAAGAAAACACTAAAAACACATCTCGAGGCCTATATAAAAAATGTATTTTAAAGAAAAATGTATTTTTTTTTTAATTAATTCCATGATTTTTGTTTTAATCAGATCACTAGAGTTAGTTATATTCAAGGCTGTAAAACTAATGGAAAGAAAAAGAAACACTTGTTTATTAAATTCTATTTATAAAACATAAACAGGTTCACTAGAGTTAGTTATATTCAAGGCTGTAAAACTAATGGATAGAAAAAGAAACACTTGTTTATTAAATTCTATTTATAAAAACATAAACAGGTTCATAAGGATTGATGTTTAACAACCAAACTGACTAACTTAAAGGGATAATAACTCTTCGTATGAGATCTATATTTCACAATAAAAACATTGTGAACAACTCATAGAAATATAATATATTCTGTTGTACAAGAAAAACGGCAGTTATAGCTATTATTCTGATATTTGAGCCTGTCTTCAAACCACGTGACATCCATTGATGGCTATACTCTGTTATAATCTCTTAAGAGATAATAACAAAAAAAAAAAACTTTTTTAGAAAAAAAAACAGGGACTGACTTTGAATGTAAAAATGGATTCATTAACCATTGGTAAGCATGGGAAAAGTTGTTGTTTACTCCAGGAAAATTAATTTTTTGGCCAAAACGAAGAGTTATTATCCCTTTAAGACGTTTCCTTGTCCACTGGACGCCTTTATTTAGTCAAAAGCGACATATAGATGGCGCTAGCACATATCCTAGCATATTAATACATAACATTATTGTTTAAACAGCTTACCTGATCCGAGATCGCCTCTGGCATACGGATAGTCTTCGTAAATATCGGAGGCGACGCTGGGGCACATTCTACCGATACATTACTCACAGCGATCAAAAACGCCAAAAGAATTCCAAAGCCGTTGGCGTCTTTCAGCATCTCTCTTGAGGTGTCTTGTCTCTTAATGTGGAGGAACGTAAAGGTGCTGTGAACGTCACGATGACGAGGGGGTGTCCCAGATAATATTAAACCTTATGGCGAGTTCACACGAAGCGTCCCTTTCCCGAGCGAGACCGTCTCTTATAATTATTTTTTTGATGAATTTTGAATGGACTGGCCCAACGCTGCATTGTACATCATTATAGGCCAGCGACGTTACACATTATTATACTGTCTTTTTCTTCTTTTCATTTAAAAGGATCTGCTGTATTGACAATTTGATATAATACCTGATTTACTCCAATTTTTCCTTGCTTTAAAGCAACCTTTAAACAGTAAATATGGTATAATGAAAGTCTTAACGGAGTTTTTTAGGCGGAGGTAAATAACTATTTATTATACTGCATACTTCCTTTAAATTTATGACGTAAAAAATAAAGTGATACTTTTTTATTACGATATTAATCCGATTCTGGATGGACCTTACTGCACAGCGGCAGGGGGTGCATCCTATCGGGTGTATGTTGGGGTAGTGTAAACACTTTGGGGTTTAAGCCACAAAACGTGACCCCCTCCACGAAACTGCGTTTGGCACTTCGTTATTAGACAGAAAGACATTTTTCTGAGCAACAGCAGTATAAACCTAGTAAATAATTATTTCACCGGCTGTGAATTACTGAAAGTTAAAATAATGGTTTATTCAAATTATATAAGAAAACTAATAAAATGGAAGGGGTTATAAAATCTATAGCGCTAATCTCAGATGAATATTGGAGTGATAATCCATTTATATTAGCTGCAGCTGTCTGGTAAAATTGTTATCCAGTTTTATTGTAACTTTGACTCCTAGACCTATATTTTTAAAAATCCAGAAAGCTTAACATCTGCATTGTTAAATAAGCCATGAGGAAAACGGAATGTGAGGGGTTTGAAATAATGAAATTTAGTAATACTATTTCAGTACACGCGTAGCTTAACGTCACCCGTGTATGTATATTGATAAAGGGATCTGCGTGCATTAGGTGAGAATGAACACAGCTGCTGAAGTTCCCACCTATAATAGTAACGTGATCACCTGGATCAGCTACGTGCCGTGTGTCATCGGAGAGCCAATTCAACAATAACGTCACGGTTACTATTATCAATACTATATTCCGTAGCATTTGTGTCAGCGTGTGCTGCTGAAATACACGCACTGATACCATGTAAATGATAAAATATGAATACAATATAAATATTACCTCTGTGCGTGAATGACTTCTATTCTAGATTCCGCGATTTTTATTACATATGTTGTGCATGTATGCAAGCTATGTCACATGTGAATTTCCGGTTGACATTTTGACATAGTATATATCACACAGAAACGCTAAATATAAATCCAATGCAATTTTTGTCCTATTGGCGAAGCGTCAGATGTGGAATAGAAAACAGAGAAAAAAAATCACCATAATTTGCAGGATGAAGAGTATTTGAACCACTCGGTTTTGTCTGGCGACGTTCCCAATACTTATTATTTATTTATTTATTTATTCATTTATTTATTTATTCAGTCAGGTATTCATTGTTTATCTATTATTCTTTAGGGGCACAAGGTATAAATGAGATGTAAAAGGGCAGGCACTTACCCGCTGTGCCGCACCCTGGTCCGGCTATATTGTCACTTCTCGTACAGCATACATAAGTGAGTGATTGGGGCGGTAACCAAGAGCACATCGTCCCCCCCCCCCCCCACACACAGACCTATGCTGTGCTTCCACACATACACACAAGCAGACGAGAGAGAGAGAGAGAGAGAGAGAGAGAGA